CTCTCGCGGCGTCCGCGTCTCGCTCGCTCTGCGGCTGCCGGTCGATCGACGCGGAGATTTTGTGTCAGCTCGGTTGGCTGATTCCCTTTTAATTAGTTCGCGTTTTGTAGTTTTCGAAACGGGCGACGCGCCGATCGGGAGGGCACGCGGTCATTTGACATCCCCGGTTTTCTCGCAACCCAACACCGGCATTCCATTAAAAAGCCATCCGACGATGCTTCTGTTTACTCCCGGCTGAGCTGTTAACGCGTTCAAAAATTTATTAACGAACTTCCCCTATCGATACCGATTTGCACAGGCTGCGATAAATTTGACTTCCGTGGGGAGAACGTTGTTGAGGATCTTTAATTGCTTGCAAATTTAGAAGCTTGATAACCTAACAGCAGAAATAGTAAAGTCTAACAAGTTGCAAGATCGTGACCTCATCCTCATTAGTTAAGTTTAAATCAAATTTTGATTCACTTTCAACATCTGATATCTAAAGGTACTTTTTCGACGCCTTGTATATGCGGAGCAATTCGAAGTGATTGCTAGCCCATCACTAGTTATTGATTCGAGCACGAGAAACACGTATTACTATTCCATTCCTATCGGAACCAAGTACATCGCAAATAGGTTCAAACCTGAGTCGATAGTTTCACGAGTACATTCGGAAACGAGAAGCAATACCTTCAAGTAGGTTCTCGACGAGATAGATTCGATCTTCTTAAGACATTTACCACTGCAGTAAAAATGGACATTCGTAGTACTTGAAGCTCGAGTTACATTCTGATCAATTTGAACATGACTAAATTGATCGAATAACATTGCGATCAAAATATTTGGAGTTCTATGTGCTCCAGGCAAACATAACAGGTTCGTCATTACACGAAAAGCAAAGTCAATTGTATACAATTGTAAGTGTACAGGCATAACAATATAACAGCACAGTAATATACTGAAATAGTAAGTCTTCAGGCTAGTAAATTAAAATAATTATCAAAACAAAATTGACAAAATTTTCACAAATCACCACCGATCCAAAAGGTACCTATGTGATATCAGATCTATAAAAATCAAAACCGGTGTCACTCAAACTGCAAATCACGAGTTACTTCCACTCCAACAACTCAATCGCAACCCCGGTTTCCTGCGATTCTATTTTCTCCAATATTCGAAAGGTTCGTCGCGCAACGTTACTTTGAACCGTTTCAATATCACACTCGAAAATAAACAATCTTCGCACAAGAGCGTGGTAATGAACAGTGTCTCACCTGAAGAGCGTGGTATCTCGTTTTAGGTCCCACTTTCAAACCCGCGAGATTCGTAGAATCGAGGCTTTAAAGGAATCGCGTCGTTTTGCTGGCACACGTGGAGCGTTGCGTTCGCACGCGAAACACTGCATCTTCTAACCGAATCGCACTCTCACCGGGCAAAACATCGTTTCCGCGGAAAACTTGTAGAACGTTTCTCGACCGTTGTCTCACAAGGTTGCCGATAAGAAAACGTGGAGGCTTTCGGCCGGAAGTTGGCAAGTTGAACGCGAGCTATTTCTTCAGCACGAGACGAGTTTTACGAGCGCTGGACCAGGCCTGCTCTGTCCCGCCGTCTTCGTAGCTCTCTTCTCGTTCTACCCTGAAGCCAGGTGTGCTCGCACCTCTTCCGACCGACGCCGCTTCCCTTCCTTTCTTCTCGTTCTCGCGTGGCCAATGCTCCTGCAAGATCACTCCTCCTCCAGCCGTTGTTGCCAGATCCTCTCTGGAGCACCGATCACACGATCAAAAAGGATACACGTTGCCTCATACCAGCTAGCAACCAATGCTCCTCTAAAGGTCCATTTCCACCTGCACAAATCTCTTATGTTCACCCTTACACTATGAGATATCTAGCCAAGTGACATCTACACTACAGATTATGACACTTGGCTTATAACATCGAGTCAGACTCGTGACACATTATAAATTTGCACAAGGATTTTAAGTACAACCTATACAAGAGGTGAATACAAAATATACTTAACAAAGTATTTTCATTTGTCTGAACCTTGCAGTAATCAGTTGTGGTCACAACTACAAAATCATAGGGGTTGTAGAAAATTTCTTAATTCATACAAAACCTAAATTTTTAAGCTTGAATATTTTTGAGCTGTGATTTCTAAAATTTATTATCATCAAACGTTTCAATATTCAGATCTCCAAATTGTACTATACAGTCCCTATTAAAGTTAATCAAAGTACCTGTAGTATTTTGCTGATTCACGTTACATGATTCATTCACATCCACATTATAGTATATCTTTCAATTAATATTTCACGAACAGTCATTGACAAATATTGAAGGAATATTGACCAAGTTCGTGGTAGTCGATCGACCCGACATTTTTGCTGGTTTCAAGCTGTCACTTCCCTTCCGCCGCATATCTTATCCGCATTCCTCCAGTTGGCTGTTCACAAATCGTAGCAAAGGCAAGATCTCGCCTCCTCTCAACTATTCCTCTCGTCTCTTGTTTTCGAGACGGGCTTCCGTGGTTTTGCTCGGATGCGTGATACTGCCGCAATGCGGTGCTTTCCCCGGACAAAATGAGATAGTTCTTTTATTCGCCCTCGCTGTATCGTTGATCCACACGCTCTTTTACCCTCGTGATTCGAGCGTGATTCCCAGAATCCAGCCAGGATCATGACTCGCGGATTCTACGCTCGATTCCGAATGCAAACTCCTGCTGATCGTGTCGAGGTGTACCGTTATTTCGAGATTCTCGGTTTGTAACGATATTTTACTGGATAACCCTTCTCAAAGGATTTTGGACGACGGTCTCCAAATTTTTATGTGGTTCGTGACCTGGGTAGTTAACAACCATCTTTTCATTATCAAGATTTTTGGTTGAATTATTTTTTGGATACAGAAAATTTCAGTATCAAAATTTTTCATTTAATTCGGTTCAGTTTAAACATTTTTTTATTATTAACAACCCTTGAGTTCGTAAGAGAATTTGAACAATATTATCGTTGGATTTGAACATGACTTCTGCTGATCACAATGATTTTTGGATAAATAAGAAGAATGTGAACAGAAAGGGTTTTGACTAATTAATTAGACATTGTAATAAAACGTCTGAGTATTTTAAAAAATTACAAAATTCTATTGTATTCAAACAGTATTTCAATTCAAGGATATCAAATTTTTGTTAAACTGTCGACTATTAACATTAAAAGTTCTTCGTTCTTAATTAAACAGTTAAGCACAATTATTAAAGACGTTCAGAAGCACCTCAGAATCCGCCTGTTTCTCGATGTAATTTATTATGCCGCCATTGCACCAGGCGTACCCTTATCTTCCCCTGTTCCCCGTTTACCTTACCGTTCATACTTTGTAGAATTACAGCGATACGCGACGAAAATGATAAATTACACGTAGACGCACCCGTCTTGCTCAAACAAAGTGGTTGACTGGTCGAGTACGGTGGTCTCGAGTTGATCGATCAACGGTAAAACAGAAGCTCCATCCTCGTTGGTGTCGTATCGATTGCTGATTCAGTGGTATCGATCCATCGATAAATGTACTAATATCTATACATGGTAAAATCAAATCAATAGCTCAGTCGAAATACGAAAAAATTAAAAAATGATAGTTGGAAATTTTGAGACATTTTAGTGTCTTTTGACAGAGTTAGGTTTCAGAATCTTCCTTGATTTTTTTATTTGTTTAAAATTCGAATTATGTGCATAATAATTTTTAGTATACTGCATGTTGTAGATGTGGATGTAACTGTGCAGATAATAATTTTTATTTATTTATTTATTTAATTTGTTCTTGCATAAGAAGTTTATTAGAGGGTATAAGTTGAAATGAACGAATGAACATCATACATATAATTTACATAAACACATATTATTTTATAACAATATTCTAAATAACATTGTCTGAATGGGAAGGTCAGAAAGAAATTAAAAAAATGTTATTGCTTATACCATTTATGATATGACTGAACAACCAAAGTGAAGAAGAACCTATCGACAATATATGAAAAATATGAAAGTTTAAATTTCTATTCTAAACACAAAAGATAAGTTTCACTAACTTGCCAATCCTAGCTTAGCATTAACACCCTATAAAATCATTAAGTACTTATTTCCGCGACGCGCAAAATAATTTCGCCTCGCAAGAGAGATCAGCATCGTAATATCTCGTCCGCAAGGTTTCAACAACGATGGCTTCAAATTCGCTGTCGCCATGTGGATCGTACATAATTTTATATAATATGGCACACATTAGGCGCCAAGTGTCTCTCGTGGGTATGGGACGCGAGTATCCAGCCCCGGTAATATCCGAGGCAGTTTTTTCTCCGTGCTGAAATGGAATCCCCGGCAGTAATAATCGGGGAAAGATCACTTAACGGCCCTTCAGGATAAGAGCCCAACCACCGTCATTCGCACCTCCGCGAATTTGCTGCTAGCGCCTAACGAAATTGCCGCATTATGTCGTTTAACGGGCTCGGAAATACAGCGGATCGGGAAGCAACGAACGAGAGAGAGAGAGAGATAGAAGGATAAAAGTGGAAAGAGGAGGGAAAGAGAAGAAAGCAGTTGGCACCGGACGACGACGAACGAGGCGAAAAAGAGAGACGGAACAACCGGGAACGAGAAAATTACACGGGATGTCCGCGTGATAGAACGATGTGACGCGACGCCATAATACGGGGAAAGGTGTCAGAGAGTGCGAACAAGCAGGGCCGTGGATCGCGCTGCATAATAGATGCGTCGGCTGCGCTTTAGCGCAAACAGGAACGAATTCCTCGGTGCACTCGTTGCAACAATTGAATCGGTAATCAAGCCGGTCCCGATAATCGAATCAGAGCCCAGGCTACACGCGTAATTGAAATTTCGCAGTCGACCACTGCAAATATCGCGTCGGCTACACCCCTTTTCATTCGTTGCGACGCGCGAAATTGCCCTGCGCCGGTTTTCCGGGGTTCGTCGAAAATGTTGTTGCCCGTTTGGTCCTGTGGCAGTCTTACAAATTGTCGCGCAGCCACGGGACACCGAAACGCGCGGGGAGGGACTGAATTGATCGTCGACGAGGGGATGATCGATAGAGACGTCGATGTCACGAACCGTTCAACGTTTCACGATGTAATTCGAGTCGATGCGATTCCGCCGCGTGAAATCGTATTTCCGACGTCGAAAAGTTCGCGCGACGCCACCATGTCAAATACAGACTGCCGCCATATTGGCGAAGGGGAATCGCGTAATATCGCCCTGTTTCGAATGTCACGCGGATTTCTCCAAGGAACAGACAACTCGAGACATTTTTCCTTTTCATGAATATCGAAATTTAACCCTCTAGCCGGCGAACACAAATTATTCTCTCGTTGCTACCGGCTTTAAATTAAACACCCTTTAATCATTATGCCCCTGTTCTTCACTACAAGTACCGTGGAGTCGTAAATAATATTTAACTAAGAGATACAAGTAATAAATTTTAGAATTTACCCCATATCCTGCAATTACTACCTTGATTTACGCATCTCGTATCGGATATTTTTTCCGCGCGATTCAAAACAAATATTTTTCCGATAGCAGTATTCCCTTTTCCGAATAAAGTTTCAAATTATTTCCCCGTAACATAGTCGTAAATTGGCAATTCCGAACTACGTTTTCGAAGCGAATTTGTTCTTTAATCACAGTACATTCAAGAACTAAAAATGATTTACTTCTATAGGTTTGAATAAAAAGCTTCCATTCTGGTACTTGTAACGACACAAAGGTCTATGTTCGAATGCATCGTACCGCGAGAAAACGAGAATTAATTATCGTGGAAATGAAAAATGGGCACTTGATTAACGCGGGCTGACCGGATCAGATGTTCTTGCTCGGGCAACGGTGTCACGGAACGGGAAGCTTTCTTCGAGCGAACTTCATTTCGCCAACCGTGAATAAAGGGAAGCCTGAAAAAGGACACACAACCTCACCCTACGCCGGTGTTTCGCGTAAATTGACCCTGACGAAGGAAGCATTTCTGTAAACTACTTTCATTCCGTGCCTTTTGTGCCGTTCCGTCGTGGCTTTGGCTGAAAAGCCCGCTGGAAAATGCACGCTCGGCGACTCGGTATCAATTGTAAACAGTAATTATTAGCAACGCCATTGTCGTTGACTAGAGACCGCCTTAATAATCGGGCCCGACGAATCCCAGATCGTTTTATACAGCCGCAGAAAATCGCTCTTCTCGCCCGACCGCGGCGCCAGCTCACAATGCGAAATTATTAACGGAGATCCTTGGAACGTGGAAATCCTGTTTAATTAGGAGCAGTTGAAAGGGTGACAAGACGAGAATAGACTACAGGAAACGGTGGAGAATGTGCGAGTCTCTTAAAGAAACTGTAAATAACATTTTTTAAAAACAAGAAAAACCGAAGTTTCTTACTCGAAAGTAAAGTTGATTGTTTAAATACTGAAATGTCTGTTTTTGGAAAATTGTACTTTAGCA